AACAATGGTCATTTCCTTGTAAACAAATAATTTTTATACATTTCAAAGATTTTTTCCTTAGTCATAATAGAAGATTTATACAACACAATACCGGACTAATCCTTCAGGTAACAGCTTATTTTCTATAATGTACAAATGGTTTGTCAATAACTCGTTTAGAATGGCTTAGTTCTTTATAAGTCATAAAATTTCGGTACTAATCTATCTATTTACAAATATACAAACTTTCTATCTTAAAATTAATACATATTTTGTCTTCAGATTTCTTAAAAACTTACTTCCGATGGATTCCTTAATTATTTTTGTTCCTTCCGCGTTTGTGGAAGAAGAAGTATAATAATATATATATATATATATATATATATATATATATATATATATATATATATATATAAGAAATACTGGATATTAGTGACTGTCGATATAAACAAATAACACAACTGCACAACTAACTGCAACCCTAATAAACTGTGTTGTTTGTATATATATATATATATATATATATATATATATATATATATATATATAATATAGATATATTTATATTATATATATATATATATATATATATATATATATATATATATATAATATAGATATATTTATATCTTCTTCTTATAGTGCCGTGCACCTATAGTGCGTTGGCGAATTATCTTAAGGCCAAACGTCTGTTTTTTGCGACATGCAAAAGATCGCCAGTATTATTTACACCTGTCTAGTTCTTTATGTTCCGTAGCTATGACATTTGTCTACGACCTACTCCTCTCTTGCCTTCAATCTTCCCCCGGATGATTAGTTGAAAGATTGCATATTTTTTTGGTGTCGAGGATAACGAGATATCCAGATGTTGTAGACTTGGCATTTAGTTCAAATATCGTTTTGAAATTAGTACAGACCTTACGAAAAAATGGAAATCACATAATTTATTTTGATAATTTTTTTTCGTCTCTAAAACTTCTAGTAGAACTTTTAAAACAAGGTTTTCAAGCTACGGGAATTCGAGTAAACAGATTTCCTGGTTTGGAATTTCGAATAGATGCCGCGTTGAAGGAAAGACGCCGAGGAAGCTACGAAGAAAAAGAAATTACTATAGAAAATAATAATATACGAGCTTTAAAGTGGTTCGATAATTAATAGCGGTATTACATTAGCCAGCACTTTCTCTTATGCTCAGCCTATATCTACCATAAAAAGATGAGACCGAAAATTAAAAGCTTATGTTGAAATTTGCTACCCAAAAATAATACAAGTTTATAATTCTTTTATGCGTATCCTAGACAGTAAAAGTATTTTGTGGATAGATTTTTAAGAAGATTATCTACTAAAGTTGCCGAAAGTATACGTGACAGAACTCCTCCTTGTTTACAGCCTCCACATACTCTTGCTTTGATAACACAGGCCGACGAAAAATTTTTTTGTGAAAACTTTTTTTACTTTAATAGCTGATTTTTATTGATTTTTATGTGCTGAATTCAAATCTGGCCTTAGTTTTTTTGTATCACCCATAGTTTTTCTGCAATTTGGGTTTTTATGTAGTATACATTTTTATGTAGTTTCTTATGTAGTATAAATACGGTATATGGTGAAATTAATGAAACACTATGTTACATCATAATCATGAATATATTATTACAATAGGTTACTTGAAACAGTTATACATATGATATAATACAGGTTCCATTAGTCATCTGGGATTGGTTTGTATTTTCTTTCCCTCTTTTCTTTGAAACTTCTTGTGTAGCTTTTTCTACGATGAGTCGCCTGCTGAACTTCTCTGTGAAGTGACCAACAGTAGTCCCCCATCATGTTAGTGTTCCAGCGGCCCTGATAGCGTTTTTCCATCAGTTTAATGTCCTGGTGAAAACGCTCTCCTTGCTCCTCAATTACATCGCCCAAGTTTTCCGGGAAGTAATCAAGATGACTGTTCAGGAAGTGAACTTTCAGGCTCATCAAACATCCTAACTTTTTAAAGTTCTTTAACATGTTAGCAACAATAGCAACATATTCTGGATCTTTTTTATTCCCCAAGAACTTGGTAACCACTTGCTTGAATGACACCCATGCTTCTTTCTCATTTGAGGTCATTGTCGATTCAAAGTTAAGGTCTAACATCATTTTTCTAATGTCTGGTCCGACAAAGACGCCTTCTTTCAGTTTAGCTTCTGAGAGCTGTGGAAACTTTAGGCAGAGATACATAAAACATGGCCCATCTTTAGGCAAAGCCTTCACAAACTGTTTCATGAGGCCTAACTTTATGTGAAGAGGTGGTAGGAGCACTTTTTTGGATCTACGAGGTTTTTGCGAAGAATGTTCTTTTCACCTGGTTTTAAAGATTCCCTAGCAGGCCAGTTCTTTTTGCACCAATGTTGATCTCTAGCCCTACTGTCCCATTCACACAAGAAACATGGAAACTTGGTAAAACCACCTTGTTGACCAAGTAGCATACATGTTACTTTTAAATCACCACATATCATCCAACCATGATCACAATAGCCTATTTTATTCAGCACTATTTCTAGGTTTTCATAGCTTTCTTTCATGTGTACAGAATGACCAACAGGTATAGATGCGTACTGGTTTCCATTGTGTAATAAAACAGCCTTTAAACTTCTTTTGGATGAGTCAATGAACAGCCTCCAGTCCTCCTTTTTGTACTCAACACCAAATTCATTCATCAGACCTGGAATGTCTGTACAGTACACCAAATCACCATCTTGTTCAAAAAATTTTGAAAATTGTTGCTCTCTCTTTCTATACACATAAATGCTGGTTTCAGCACCCAACAAGTTCTTTTCTTTTAGTCTAGAGCCAAGCAATTCAGCTTTTTCTTTAGTTAAGCCTAGATCCCTAACCAAGTCATTAAGTTCAATCTGAGTAAACAATTTAGGCTCTACATTTTCTGTAATACATCGAAATTCTTCATCATCTTGTTCACCTAACTCAGATTCTACATCATAAGATGGTTCAGTTTGAATGGAATCCAAATCATCTGGAGGTTCAGGGACCGGCATATCTTGACCGTGTTTCACTGGTCGGATGGCAGACAAGGTTAGGGTAGCTTATTACCTTCTTATTTTTTGAGTTGTGACCAGTTACATCAACACTACAAAAGTAACAATCATCAAAATGATTTCTTTGCTCTCTCCATATCATAGGAACTGCAAATTTGAAAGATTTTTTCTCCTTTTTTGACCATTTTCTTAGATCTTCAACACATACATAACATACCTTATGCGGCGCCCAAGATTTATCCTGATCGCCAAGTAAAGTTCTAAAGTATGATCGATAAACCTTTTTCACAAAGTCCGTAATGTTTCTTTGGTGTTTTTTAATCACAAACTCACCACAAATATAACAAAAACTGCCAACAGAGTTTTTACAACCGCGGTTAGACATTGTGTTGAGCACGTGTACAAAAACCGTGAAAGTGAGGTTAGATTGACAGTAAATAAACATCAGCTGTTAACGTTCAAATGGAATCTACCTTTTTTGATCTTTTAGTATGTTTCAGCAGTGCTACCAACACAATTTAAGTCCATTACCTCTACTTTTTTGATTATATTTAAACTATTATAGTATATGTTAAATTCTGTAGAAATCGCTTAATTAAAAAAATGTTACTACAAAATGTGAAGAAATTGTGGGTGATACAGCTTTGTAAGCATCATATTTGGATTCAGCGACCTAAAAGACATTAGAATAGGGTATTTTTAGTGAAAAAGTTTTTTCATCGTTGGCCTGTGTAATTGTTTACCCCTAGTGGATATTATTGGTGGTGGTAATATTATTAAATGCCCCTTCAATATCTAAAAAACCGGCTTTTGCTATCTGTTTGTCTTAAGATATCTGAGATAAGCCTATTTAGATTATCCAAAGCTGAGACTGTATCTCAGCTTTGGATAACGCTAGAAATACTTCTCTATCGAGAAGTATTTCTAGCGTTTTTAATAGAAAAGACGATGAACTTATTCGTCTATATGATTTTGGTGTTAGGTCTGATACTTTACCTACCCTGGATAAGTATATGACTTTAACCGGTATTTCCAGTACGACCCTTCATGCTAAACTGGCTTTTAGGATCTTCCATATGTATGTTATCAATACCTTTAATCCCATTGGATATATGCCATCTGTCCCTGGAGAGTTGTATGGCTGAAATTTATTTATATTCCATCTAATTATGCTTGATCTTGTGATTGCTGTGGCTATTTCACAATTTATAGTACTTGGTTTAGCGGGCCTTCGGTCTATGTTGGTTCGCCTGTCTGCATGATTCAGAACTGTTGAGGCCGGAAAGTGCGTGTTTATAAGTTCTTCAAGACTTTTCTCTCTTTGGTCACCGTAAATTTGTCATTAGCTTTCTTTAGGAAACCTACTTTTTTAATGGTTCAACCAACTTTTGCCAGTATTTTATGGATTCGACAGTTGGCCAGGATATCTGTTATCTTCTCGCAAATCTCTCTTCATGCTCCTCAAAACTCTCTTTCTTCTGGTTTTGCGAATGTTTTTTATTGTATAGTGTTAACTTGTACATGTACGCATCCCAGTCTTGGTTACTTTTTGCTTTGTTAAATAGGCTTTGGATTTCTGAATTTAGCGTCATTAAACCTTTATTCCATTAGACTGTATTACTGCCCGTATTTTTTCTTTTTTTTTCTGGATAGTTTTTATAGTAAGCGGCAAACATTAAGCTGAGGCTTAAGTAAAAAGGCTAAACAAGAAGCAGAATTTCTTTAGCATATAATGAGAAACATAAGAGCTAAAACGAAGTATACTTAATAATAAGGAAATTTCATTCAACGTAAATACTAAATTGGACAAAAGCTATACTTATCTTACTTCTGTGTTAATTATTTTATAAATAAAGGTATACAAAATCTATGCCTGATTAATCGCCTATGTCATAGAAAAAAGGAAATACTAGAAATATTGGAAAAGGATCCATTTTGTTGTTAAACTAATAATTTTACTTCATCAATTACTTATCATCATTTACTTACTTCATCAATAAAACAGTGTAATATCTTATCAATGTCCATCTGACTGTCTTGAATAGCCGTTAAAAATAGCACTTGCTTGAAATAAATGTCATAAATATTTCCAAAAAGATACTTCAGAAAATGTTTTTTATCCTGTGGTGTGTTTTTCTCAATATATGGTTTATATACCTAAAAGTAATTACAGAGTATCCATAACATGTATTAGGAACTTATCTTTATCGTCTTACCATTACGAGTTTTGATAATTCCTCAAAGTATGTTGTTTCTGTTTCCACTATCTCCTTTGCGATGTAATTTAACCTGAAATATTGTAACGAATAGAAAACATGATATGTGATTCACAGAAAAAAAATTAGGATAATTAATTATAAAATATTTCACAACCATAATAAAAGGAAAGCAGTTAATGATAGGCTGAATTGGAGTCAATATGTAACCTTCCAGGGGAAAAAGCAAGTTAAATAAAAAACAAACCAGCTATGTAAGTTAACAAAAAATAAAGTGCCAGTAGGTAGAAAATATTCTAGTTAAGCTTCATTATAATCCATTAAGTTTTATTTTAAAACTAGACAGCTATGAATGTTATTTTAATAAGATGTTTCAATGATATACAAGGAATATTCACATATTGTCAAACCGTCAAATTCTGTGACACGTGTTTCGCTATTTTTAGCTCTTCAGACAGATTTGCTGGTAAGACGGAATGAAGGGAATACTTCCCTTCGTATATCGGAAATTAATACAAAACCTTTCAATTATGTACTGACTAGTTTAATCTAGTTTAACTTGAGCCATCTAAAGCTCTTTTAAGAAGAGGGATAGAGAAGTCTTTGTAGTAGGTGTGCTTCATTCAACTCAATAAGATGTGCCAGAGAAAAAGGGATTCTCATATATAATAAAATAGATCATTTTAATAGCCAAGTAGAAAGTCAAAATAATTTTTATAAAAAAGTGGTATGATGGTAAACGGGAATAAGAAATAAATAACAGAATAGATAAGAAACTTAAATTATACTATCAAATGAACAAAGTTTTTGTAAATAAAACAGAGATTTCAAAACGAACAAAAATAAATGTATTTAATGTATATACACACCAGTACTAAGGTTTGGATGCGAATCATGGACCCTAACAAAAATAAAAGTAAAATCCAAGCCGTAGAAATAAAATACCTCCGAAGAGTTAACGGTATCTCAAGATTGAAGAAAATAAGAAATCTGGACAAAATTTGCATGGAAAAAAAAATTGTGAAGACTTGTTTAGGCTTTAGAATTTTCAAGTAATGACTGGTCCTTGTTTTTACTTGTGGGAATCTAGATTGGAAGGGCGATATGAAGAGTAGACGTTGTGTAGGTTGTGTATAATTGTTGGTAGAAGCAAGGATGGGAATGCAAAGCAATATTTCATTGCCTAAATGAGGATATCAAAGTAGTGTTATATATATATATATATATATATATATATATATATATATATATATATATATATATATATATATATATATATATATATATATATATATATATATATATATATATATATACATATATATATATATATATATATATATATATATATATATATATTTATTTATATATATATATATACAGATTACGATATTGTTTTGTTGAGCATAGCAATTAATATTTATTGCAATCCCATCTCTAGACTATATTAATTATATTAATATTATATTATTAAATATTATATTAATTATAATGCTCTTAAACTAATTTTTTGGTTAGCCTTAATAGCAATACACATAAATAAGTAAATAAATAAGTAATATGCTTTATTGTCACTGGAAATTGTACAAATATTATTGACAAAGCTTATAACAAGAAAAATAAGCACCTCAGTGTTGCGTGCGAATGCAGCATCCGCAAAAGTTAAATGTTTGGACTGGGATGTTAGGCGACCATATTGTCGGTCCATTTTTTATCGATGGAAACCTAAACGGGCCCAAATATTTACAACTTTTACAGAATGAGATCATTCCGAAAGTTCGATGCCTTCCCGTTAATTTTCAGGATGTTAATTTCCAACAGGATGGGTGATCGGCTGACAACTCTAGAGCAACTATTGACTTATGTATTTTTATTGCTATTAAGGCTAAAAAATAACCAAAAAATTTGTTTTAAAGCATTATAATAAATATACTCTAGAGATGGGATTGTAACAATACAATGTCGTTATCTGTATAAGGTTCACTTAAGGTAAAACTTCACTCAAGGTAAAATTTGTAAACTACTCCATATCTCATGACTTGATCATGAGACAAACGCAAAAGTGTTAAGGATAGCTGGAATCAAACGTGAACTGTTACAAACTATAAAACAACTTTAAGTTTCCTATTTCGTACAGAGAGTTATACGTACGAGATATTAAGATTTGTTCTAATGGGTGAGATAGAAGAAAGTAGTGACCTAGGAAGAAAGCAAAAGAAAGCAACATTCGTACTTGCGAGATATAAGTGTTTAGTCTAGTACTCGAAATGCAGCTAAATTTTTTACACTTGCTAAAGTGAGGTAATTACAATTAAATGCAAAGAAACGTCTACTGGCTTAAAGCTTATTGTACTCGAAGAACAAGATTCCAAAACAAACAACAGAAAGCTCTTATTACCTTTTTTCTGGTGTCAACGTCGTTGATTGCCTCGGAGTATAATGATGTGGTACTTGAGTATCTACAGGTATTAAAATAGACTCAGACGACGCATTTGTTTCGGGGAATATAAACTTCAGTTCCTCTTCAGTTAGAATTGGTGAGTATTCATAAATATGATCATAATCTGGCTCTTCTGAATAATTTAAATTTGTCAATTTGTCAGTTTCTACATTTTTTAAATCAGAAGATACTGGTAGATCAATATTTTCGTCTAAAATACTGTTATCGTCTTTTGCGCTTTTGTTGATCTTGTTGATGTTTTTCTAAAAAGGAGTTATAAGAAATTACTACATAAGCTGATAAAATATTTTACAGGGTATTTGTGTTATCCTATTATTAATTTTTTTCGTATACGAGTATGTACTCGCAATTTTTTATTAAATATAATTTAACAAAAAGTACCTTCGAAGCCAAAAGACTTAACTGGTATGGACACCTTCAGAGAATGCGGGAAAATAGATGGCCAAAAAAATAGAAGAATGGACTCCGCCAACTAGAAGAAAACGAGGTAGACCAAGACGATCCTGGAGAGACGATGTCGACGATGCAATGACCGCCAGAGATCTAACAATTGAAGATTGCTTCGACAGAAAACGCTGGAAATTAGGATGCGAGAAGCGGCGCCAGCTGTAGAAGACTCGCTTGTTATATATATACAAAAAGTACCTAATAATCTTCGATTGCAACCATGTTATTGATATAGATCGAGCTCCAGTAAAAGTGCTCGGTGATGCGAGTTTAACATTTGGATATCGAAAGATTCTGATGGTTATAACAACAACTCACTAAACTATCACATAATATAACTAACAGGAAGTAAATATCTAAAAAATTGTCTATTCTTAACCCTTGCAGGTTAAAGAAATTATCCAAGAAGATGTCTAAAGGTAATAATAGAAAGACTATTCCCTTAACCCTGCTGTTCTGTTCGGATCTATTTGACCCAAAAAATTATTTCATATTTTGCAAATTAATACACTGTGTAACGTTTTGGTGTGTTTAAAACCCATCACCTATACGTCGACTTCAAGGCCGCATACGACAGTGTCAAGAGAACAGTGCGATACCAATCAATGCATGAGTTTGGTATACCAGAGAAACTTATCCGACTAACGAGAATGACAATGTCTAACTTAGAAGCCACTGTTAGAATACAGGGAGAGAGTTCTAGATCCTTTGAGATAAAGGATGGACTCAGACAAAGAGATGCTCTGGCTTGCCTCCTATTTAATATTGTCTTAGAAAAGGCAGTCCGAGATACACGAATTAGGGATGGCGGTACTATTTACAATAGATCAATACAAGTCTTAGCATAGGCTAGCAAGCGAGATGTTGAGCAATATCTCCTGGAATTGGAAACATTGGCGAAACAGGTCGGTCTAGTCATCAACGAAGACAAAACCAAGTACACGTTGGTTACAAAGGATCCGATAGCAAATAAGGAACGAGAAACAGTCTTTGGAAGTCATACCTTTAGACGTGTTGACAACTTCACATACCTTGGGTCGCTATTGACTGCTACCAATAAAACAAGCGAAGAAATCAAAAGACGAATAAATCTTACAAATAGGGCATACTATGGACTCCAAACGCATTTCCACTCAAGAAACATTCGAAGAAAAACTAAAATTATTATATACAAAACATTGCTGAGGCCGGTCCTCACATATGGAGCAGAAACATGGACTCTAACGCAGAAAGATGAAAGACTTTTGGAAAATATTTGGAGCTGTAAACGACCAAGGGCAGTGGCGCAGAAGATATAATTTTGAATTATATCAGCTCTTTGATGAGCCAGATGTCATAACGTTCATTAAAACAGAGCGACTTAGATGGGCTGGACACATAATACGAATGCCAGAAAATACCATTGCTAAAAAGCTAACCACAGGAACACCTGTAGGAAAAAGAAGCAAAGGCCGACCGCAAATTAGGTGGTTAGATGGAGTAGAAACCGACTTACGAATATTAAAAATCAGAAGATGGCAACATGTTGCCAAAAACCGAACAGAATGGCGACGAATCTTAGAGCAGGCCAAGATCCACAGAGGATTGTCGAGCCAAAGATGATGATGATGAACGTTTTGGTGTTTCGTAACATTATTACCTAATATGAGGTCTTTCAATTGCATACGAAATAAAAAGCAGAGGAGCAGACCGACTCGCTACTGAGCTTGATAAGTGCTTGGGCTGGATACCTTCTATCAGTAAGACCTGTAGTCGTTTTGTCGGGACTGTGATAAGCACAGCAAAGAAGAGCATGCCTAGAGGTTATCAAAAAGAATATATCCCGGGATAACATCCGGGATGGTGTTAAAATAGTAATATATTATAGCAGAACTTTCTTGGTGAACTTATTCATAGTCTAAATGCAACACGCCAGCAAAAATGCAGACAGTAGAAAACCTAAACTTTCAAAATCAAGTCGGAAAGCCTGGGCCCTATAAGGAAACTTGGAGATGGTAAAAGCTTTTAACAACGGAAAGCAGGTATAATCCCAAACTTAGTGGCATCTCATATTGTTTCGATATCAGGAGCTACCAGAGATAAAGTTCACATACGAGACATAAAGAAACATTTAAAATCCTTGAAATCGCAATCAATCAAGACGAACACTGTCGCTCTTTCACAATTGAAGAAATAGATATCGCCCTTAAAGACGTTTCCCCGGATAAAACTCCAGGTTTCGACGGCATCCACTCCGAATTTATACTTAATTGCGGAAAATACACAAAAACCTGGCTATCACATTTCTTCACAATCATAATTCAGAGCGGCAGAGTCCCACGGGAATTTCAACACTTAAAAGTCATCTTCTTCGCGTGCCATATCAGAATTATCGGCGATCACCCTTGCGAAAGCTTCTCGATCTTCTGTAATATGGAATAATTGTCCAGCATTTGGTATATGAGTCCATTCACGAATGTTTTTTAACCAAGAATCTTGTTTTCTTCCTACACTTCTTCGGCCCTCTATTTTGCCTTTAAGGATCAGTTGTAAAATTTATATCGACTTCCTCTTACTATATGTCCCAGATAAGACTTTTTCGTTTCAAACGTCATAGCAATACTAAAACCAGGTAAACCAACTGACCACCTAAAAAGCTATATACCAATTGCCCTACTATTTATAATGTAAACTACTTGAAAGACTAATTTTTAACAGAATAAGACCAACAATTCTTAACGCTATACCAATTGAACAAGCAGGTTTAAGACTAAATCGAGGTTGCACAAACCATATTTTATCTCTCCGTATTTACATAGAAGCCGGCTTTCAAAGAAAATTAAAGAGTTCTGCTGCGTTCATAGATCTTTCAGCAGCTTTCGACACCGTCTGGTGAGAAGGAATGATTTATAAACTCTTACGCATTATTTCTTGCAAATTTACCGCTAGATTATTAGAAAATACGCTCACCGACAGAGTATTTCAAGTAACTATAGGATCCGAAGTAAGCACCTACAAAAAACTCAAAAATGGTCTACTACAAGGCTTGGTACTCGCACCACTACTTTTAAGCCTTTATATCGCAGACATGCCGACAACAACATCAACAAACTTTGGCTATGCTGATGATTGGGCTTTATTAACCCAAACAAAGTCACTAGAAGAAGCTGAAGAGATTCTTACGGAAGACCTAGAGGTTATGGTAAATTACTTTCAAAAATAGAGACTTCGACTTAATGTCTCCAAGACCGAAGTAACCTGCTTCCACCTAAACAACAGTCTAGCATCAAGAACCCTTAACGTTCATTTTGATAACACACGACTCAACCAGAATAAACATCCAAAATATCTAAGCGTAGCCTTGGACAGAACGTTAAGCTTTAGAGAACATTTAAGAACAGTTACCGAAAAGTTAAAAACCAGAAATAACATCATTCAGAAGCTCTGCGGCACAAAATGGGGGTCATCGGTATCCACACTCAGGTCTTCAGGCTTAGCTCTTTCTTTTTGATTCTGTAGCTGAATACTGCGCGCCAATATAGATCAACAGTGCTCACGTTAAAAATATATAAGTTCAGCTAAATAACACCATGAGAATAATCTCTGGAGTAATTAAATCTACACCAACACATTGGCTACCAGTGCTGAGCGACATTTCACCACCACATCTTCGCCGACTCAATCTGCTTACCAAGGAATATAACAAGATCCTTAGCAGCACGGCGCTGCCGATTCATAATTATATAGAAGATGAATCCAAAAGTCGACTGTGCTCCAGAAAATCTCTGGTACAAATTGCAGAATCAGCCGCAGCCACAGGGTTCAACATGATCATCAAATGGATCCATTAATGGTCAGCAGCTCAACCAAATACCATACCTTGCAACACAGAGATACCTCCTGTATTTGACCTACCACGTAAGACCTGGTACACACTTAATCGCATCAGAACCCAATATGGTCGATGTGAAGATATGTTGAACAAATGGGACAAGCTACCATCACCGTCATGCAGCTGCTGCGAGGAGATCAAATCGCAAATATGTTTAGTAAATAAAAATGGATATTTTTAACTACCTGCAATCCATCTGTTGTTTCTTTATTATTGTTAGTACATTCCATATTATCCGTTTCAGAACCGATATTAAGATAAACTGCATGTCTGTTTATGTTTGTTGTGGATATATTTAAATTTGTAACATCCGTGTCGTCGTCCTTAATAAATTTATCCATTTTCATATTTGCAACTTCTTCATCGAATTTTTTTAATATTTTTTTTCTTCGTACTTCAACTTCTGTGGAAGTTTTTGTAACAATGAAATTTAGTTCGTCGGTTAGTGACGACTTAAATTCCGAGTTTATTTTATCATCTGGTAATTTAGTAGATGACGTTAATGACCTTGTGACCAATTTTCCAATAATTTTATGTTTTCTTTTCTTCGAATCTAAAAAAAAAATATTGAATGTAATTAAAAAACATCAACATTAAGGTATATCATATTAGAAAATTTCAGGAATTTTATGTTTTCCTGTTTTTAATACGGTCCTGTTTTGTTGCATTTCATGAGAAAAATGCATGAAGTGGGTTGTACCGATAATAAGCTACTCGTATGGTCAATGTGTAGCGATAAGACTACCAAAGAGAATTGAATTAACTATTATAAAAATAATTCCTCAATCAACCATGGGAGCTTATCGTCTATGCCTTGCCTAGCTCAGTATCTCAAGTGAGAATTTGTCTTGTCTTAAATTAGGAAGCAATTGTTTAATTAGACATATTTATTTAAAAAAAATAATATTTAAATAGCAAAAGATAACCCTGCCAATGCTTTACAGTAAATAAAATTTGGCGATACTTATGGCATCAGGCATCGATGGGCTGCTTGCTGCCAAGTATCTGTGGCCTCCTAATTAGATGGATAGGTCCTCAGAAAAATGAATAAGAATCGAGAGGTACTGACCATCATCAAATCTCTAAAGTTACAGTTCTTCGGACATATTATGCGGAATGACTCCAGATATGCTCTCCTTTTGCGGCTTTTCCTAGCTGCTGTAGGTAAGATAAAGATTGTCATGATGATCGTCAACATTCGTAACGGATAGGCACATCAAGAAGAAGAATAATGGTCAAAATCACTTAAAAATATATATTTCAAATATTTTTCAAACAGTGGTGCTCCTACTTTAGTCCTAAATTTGGTCGATTTACCTGAAATTTGACACCCCACCATGGATAGTGACGATAACGAATACGATACGGATAATAGCCAAAGAAACGGAGGAGAGGTGAAAGCGAAAAAAATCTAAAGGCAAATAAAATGGATCTAACACTAAAAGTATTAGAAAAACTGACAAAATTTAACAAAACTAACTACATATGTACACGAAATAAAAGATGAGCAGTTGCAGTATAGACAGAAGCTTAAAGAACTAAGAGAAGAAAACGAATATATAAAAAAAGAAAGTAAGAAACTGAAACAAAAATGGACACAATGGAGGAGAGGATGGATAAAATGGAAAAAGAGAGCATAAGATAATAAAAGATAAGATAATAAAAGGTACCAAAAGGTGGAGTAACCAAATTCTTTCAATATAAGCTAAAGGTGGAGGAAAAAATTAAAGAAATTAGAAAAATAGGACCACAAAATGGTATAAGAGTATTACAGAGATAGAAAATTTTAAAGAAAATTTAGAAATCCTCCAAAACAAATATAGCTTGAAAGAAATTAAAGATCAATAAATGTATATCGACTGTTAATTAAATAAAAGCGATAGGTAAATCTAGATGAAAATTAGTAATGAAACATAAATGTTTAGATTTGCAGGTAAAAGGTATTGAATAGATCGGTGGAATACTTTAAACAGGCACTTAATATAGTGGAAGAAGAAGAAATCCTGAAAGAAGTAAAAGATAAGGTGAGGGGAACAGATGAGAGGAAAGAGAAACCACCAACGATTCTTGAAGTTAAAGATGCAGTTAAAAAACTAGCCAGAAACAGATCACCCGGAATAGATAATCTTACAGCTGAACTGTATAAATAAGGTAATACCGTAAGGACATTAGAGCAGCTTATAAAATAAATATGGACATAGAAATGCCTCTCCAATGATTGTAACATTGAAATACTTTGCGCCATACACAAAAATGGAGATATCTTTAAATGCTCTAACCACAGAAAAATTACTCTTTTAAATGCAGCATATAAAATATTTTCCACAGTTCTATGTCACCGTATGGCACCATATGCAGAACGGATAGTAGGGAAATACCAAGCTGGTTTTAGAGGTGGTAAATCGACAATTCATCAAATTGCAATCCTGAAACAGATTTTAGAGAAAACACTTGAATCTGGAATTGATACTCACCACATATCTATAGAATACAAAGCAGATTACGACTCTGTGAATAGAAGAAAACTTTTTAAAGCAATGAAAGAACTAGAAATACCATGTCAGTTGGTAAATTTAACAAAACTAACCATTAAAAAGTTTGAATGTAGAGTACAAATTCAGGGTGAACTGTCATCAAGTAATGGGCTACGCCAGGGAGACCCACTTTCCTATATACTGTTCAATCCGGCTCTGAAAAAGTTAATACGTATGTCACAGATCACAACCATTGGTTCAGTATAATCGTCGTTGCCAAGTCAAAAGCTGCTAAGTGGGACTTTTTCACAAAAGGAGATGTCTGTACTACTTAACAGATTTTTACGTTGTTCATCGTCTTATAAATACAGTTATATGGTAATGCATATAATTACTGTAATATCCAAGTTTGAAAAATATGTCATGTGAGCGGGTATCGCAAAACATGCTATGTGGATTCCTCATCCACATAGCAGGAAAATATTTACATAACGCGCGCCCGTCATACACTGCTATGTGGATTTTTTCATGCACATAGCAGAAATTAACGACTTTGAATGTTGTCAAACCTGTCATGAGGTTTTGTTGAATATTATTATTATACCGATACATTTATTATTACCTCTAATTGGAGAAAGAATAAAGCAAAAGTGTGCTCTAAGAACATAATAATTGCTTATATAGTGTGCACTTAAGGTAAGCAGAATTAATACTATTTACTAAACGTTTACTTGAATGCTTGACATAAATTTCAAATCTAACCTCAAATAATTTTTTGAAAGAGAACAGAGAGAGATATTTAAAATTTTAATATTTTTGCTAACGTAGTTTCATTCAGTAGTATAGTGATATTATTATGTGAAAATAATCACTGCAAACTTATTGCAGCTTCAACATGTCATACGGTGGTCTGTCGAGAGGACAGTTTCTTGTTTCCCAATGTTTAAAACAAACAAGTTCAGCACAAGAAGAAACGATTGGTAAACTTTTTGCCTTAATTTGTTTAGTTTACTCTTGCAACTGAGTTTATTTGATATGTCACATGTGTAAATTCATTTTATGGTATGCCTTTTATATAATAATTTATAAATTCGTTTAAAATAATACAAGTGCCACATTTTAATGTACTACTTTATCATCAAACTTGAACTGTGTATTATTTTAAAATATTATAAAGCAAATACGAAAATAACTTTTATTTTTTTTTAAGGTAATTTAGAGGAAGACAAACCAGTTGCACGAGAAAATGAAACTGAAAACTGCGCTAATGAAAACAACATTGATGGTGTTATGTTGGAAGCAGCTCTCTGTAGCGATATCATTATAGAATGCGACAGGGCTCTTCTCAACAGCATTCAAAATAATGATATTGATTTCAAATTGATTACTGATGTCGAACCCTTAGACAATACAAATATAACAAGGCACGAATTAAATGGGACTACTGAAGTATTAATAACAGAAAATGAAAATTCTGAAGACAACGTTTTGTCAGGGCAGAAATTAGAAGACTCACTTAAGGATGACGAAATATTAGAAAATAATCAAATTCTGGTAGAACAAGAAGTAGAAGTCTCAATGGAAAACCGAATATCAGGTATTAAACGAATGGAAGAAACAGTTCCTGTGGAATACGAAGAGGGAGACGCTATTGAAGATGAAATATTGTATGAAAGTTGAACAGACTATCGCTATGAATTTAATAGAAGAGGAAGCACCGATTCAGGAAGAGGAACATGGGACGAAAAAACGGAATTACTACCAAGGAGTAAAGAGACAATAAAATCTAGATTTGAGAGTAACTGGTCAAGAATATACATCCAAAGTACGTAGGGAAAAAGGCATTTACGAGGAGAAAATTCGCCAGCCAAGAAAGTTGGATCAAGGTGCGAACATAAAGCAAGTGCTCCAAAACGATCAAAAAGTAAGGCAACATCTGCGATGAAGACTGATACCAGCCGCACTTTCTTTTGTGCTGAAATTAAGGATGAACTAAGAAATAAGATATTTAGGGAATTTTGGTCGTTAGAATCTTGGGATTCCAAGCGAACATACATTCTTGGTTTGGTTGATAAACGGAATCCATATAAACGAAGAGTTACAATAGACGATCCACGAAAAATTAATGCGTTCGACTGCTACCTTAAAAACCCCAATGGTATAAAAATAAGAGTATGCAGAACATTCTTTTTAAATACTTTGTCATTAGGGCGAGATACCTTTCAACGATGGGTTAACAATTCATTATCTAAAGGATTTTCAAAAGAAAAACCAATACCTGAGACATTGTCTAAGTCAAGTGATATCAAAAAGAGGACATGCATTCTGGAGTGGCTTGATTTACTTCCAAAAGTACCAAGCCACTATTGCAGAAGCAGTTCGAAACGCACATATGTGGAATCAATTTTTAATTCAAAATCACACATGCATTCCGTCTACGAGACATGGAGTTAAGAACATACTAAATGTGTTGCATCTAGGACAACATTTTTAAAAGTTGTAGAACAACAAAAAATATCTATTCATAAGCCACGCAAAGACTTGTGCGACATATGTTACGAATATGATGTGAGAAATCTACAAAAAGAAGTTTATGATGAACATAGGCAAAAAAAACACAAGAAGCCAGGGATGCTAAAACCAAGGCCAAAGCTGAAGCAAATAAAAAAAATATTAGTTGTCACAATGGATTTATAAAGCGTTCTTTTATGTCCTAAGTTGTTGGTCTCAAAAGTTTATTATAAACAAAAACTACAAGTCCATAACTTTACTATTTACGTGTTAAATAACAACGAAGTATATCTCTATGTTTGGCACGAAGGAGAAAGTGCCGTTAATAGCAACGAGTTTGTTACTTGCATTATTGATTTTATCACCAAATTTGGGCAGCATTACGAAGAAATTGTTCTAATATCCGACGGGTGTAATTACCAAAACCGAAACAAAGTCCTTGCAAGTGCACTTTCTAACTTGGCAACTGAGAAGAAAATCATAATTGAACAGCTTATTTTAGAGAAAGGCCACACGATGATGGAGGCCGATAGCGTACATTGTACACTAGAATCACTATTTAAGCCAC